GTATACTAACTAACCTTTGAGTTGTACAATATTTAAGCTGGTGTACAATCCTCATGCAGTGATAGTGTGACCAGTTAGTAACAGGGCGGATGACATGCATATTTGAAACAGGACCAATCAAGTGAGAAGCTAGGCCTGGGCTATTGTTAAAACACCAAAGACAATGACAAGAAAATACAGCAACCCAAATACCCTTATACCTAAAATGTGCCCAGCCGTGTGACACAGAACTGTGCAGTAAACACAAAAGCAAGAGACAGACGGACTGACAACTAATTAAAATGATTAATTATACATTTATGTACACGATATAATATCACTAAATTAATCCCTGTTACAATAGCTATGCTATATACACACCTATATCCACCTGATGTACCTATAAATCATAGGTACATCACAGGTACATCACAGGTACACCACAGGTATTTCACAGGTATATCTCAGGTAAGTCACAGGTGTGTCACAGGTATATCACAGGTGTGTCACAGGTATGTCACAGGTACATCACAGGTACATCAACGGTGTGTCACAGGTATATCACAGGTAAGTCACAGGTTCGTCACAGGTACACCTCAGGTAAGTCACAGGTATATCACAGGTATACCTAAGGTAAGCCACAGGCATATCACAGGTACATAATAGGTACACCACAGGTAAGTCACAGGTATATCACAGGTACATCACAGGTAAGTCACAGGTACATCAAAGGTACAGCTTAGGTAAGTCACAGGTATATCACAGGTGCATCACAGGTATATATCAGGTACACCCTAGGTAAGTCACAGGTATATATCAGGTCACCTTAGGTAAGTCACAGGTATATCACAGGTACACCACAGGTAAGTCACAGGTGCATCACAGGTACACCACAGGTAAACCACACGTACATCACAGGTACACCTTAGGTAAGTCACAGGTATATCACAGGTAAGTCACATGTACACCTTAGGTAAGTCACAGGTACACCACAGGTACATCACAGGTAAACCACACGTACATCACAGGTAAACCGTAGGTAACGAACAGGCAAACAACAAGTAAACCACAGGTAAACCACAAGTAAACTGCAGATACCTCAATTATGAAGAATCCTTCCAAGAATATCGAAGATATATTTTATTCGTCTGTACTCGTTATCCTCATACAAACAGGAAGAACCCTAATATTGAAAAGTCTGACAATTAATCGGAGAAAATACAGGAACGCGAGGTCATAGTAAATAGCAGTCGGTCCCTCATCATCGTAAGAAGGATCCCATCTATACTTCTGCATTTCTGCGTTAGACACGTGCACAGAAGGATTTGACACAAGTGGTAGTGTGTGTTTATTACGCATTTAAGACAGCCATTCACTTGTGGTGTAGTTTAATTACACATCAATTGCAGTAAACTGTTGGAAATCCTGATCTCTGAGCTGAATCTTTCAATAATATGTAGCCTGGTCTAGGCCACCTGAAAACCTATTTAAATATAACATAACATGAGACAAGGTCGACGTTTGTTTTATCGTGGTTTAATTTTCACACCTTAGTCAAGGAAAATGACAATATTTATTATTTGACGAGTACCTGCACAGAGATTTGTTCGGCAAACATTAATGTGTGCATACTCATTCTTTCAGGTGACCGCGAGGTGACCCTGTCACAACCGAGAGGGAACATTTTCTACATTGATGGTTTTGTCATACATATGGTCTGAAACAAAAGTTACTGTATATCTAGAACTGACGTCAATCCGTGACGAACTGTTGCAGAATACCTAGAAATGGCGGGAATCAGTATATTTTTTACTGGAAGAATAAACGGCGTCCTGTTACAATACATCTGAAACTGGCAGTATGACTTTGTTGGGCTTCATTGAGGGGTGGGTTGTCTTTACATCAATGTTCTCAATCCATTATTGTCTTTGAATACAATCAGTTGCAGAATATTATATTGCATACATGGGAACTGGGCCCGTGAAGATCCGGGATAGAATAGGTCTTCAACATCCCATGCTTGCCGTAAAAGGCGACTATGCTTGTCGTAAGAGGCAAATAACGGTATCGGGTGGTCAGGCTCACTGACTTGGTTGATGCATGTCGTTGTATTCCAATAGATGACACGACAATCACGCAGTACTGGAACAATAGACGACACGACAATCACGCAGTACTGGAACAATAGATGGTTCTACAATCACGCAGTACTGGAACAATAGATGACACGACAATCACGCAGTACTGAAACTATTGATGGTTCTACTTTCACGCAGTACTGGAATAATAGATGACACGACAATCACGCAGTACTGGAACAATAGATGACACGACAATCACGCAGTACTGGAACAATAGATGACACGACAATCACGCAGTACTGGAACAATAGATGACACGACAATCACGCAGTACTGGAACAATAGACGACACGACAATCACGCAGTACTGGAACAATAGATGGTTCTACAATCACGCAGTACTGGAATAATAGATGACACGACAATCACGCAGTACTGGAACAATAGATGACACGACAATCACGCAGTACTGGAACAATAGATGACACGACAATCACGCAGTACTGGAATAATAGATGACACGACAATCACGCAGTACTGGAACAATAGATGACACGACAATCACGCAGTACTGGAACAATAGATGACACGACAATCACGCAGTACTGGAACAATAGATGACACGACAATCACGCAGTACTGGAATAATAGATGACACGACAATCACGCAGTAATGGAACAATAGATGGTTCTACAACCACGCAGTACTGGAACAATAGATGACACGACAATCACGCAGTACTGGAACAATATATGATTCTACAATCACGCAGTACTGGAACAATAGATGACACGACAATCACGCAGTACTGGAACAATATATGGTTCTACAATCACGCAGTACTGGAACAATAGATGACACGACAATCACGCAGTACTGGAACAATATATGATTCTACAATCACGCAGTACTGGAACAATAGATGACACGACAATCACGCAGTACTGGAACAATATATGGTTCTACAATCACGCAGTACTGGAATAATATATGGTTCTACAATCACGCAGTACTGGAACAATAGATGGTTCTACAATCACGCAGTACTGGAACAATAGATGGTTCTACAATCACGCAGTACAGGAATAATAGATGACACGACAATCACGCAGTACTGGAACAATAGATGACACGACAATCACGCAGTACTGGAACAATATATGGTTCTACAATCACGCAGTACTGGAATAATAGATGACACGACAATCACGCAGTACTGGAACAATATATGGTTCTACAATCACGCAGTACTGGAACAATAGATGACACGACAATCACGCAGTACTGGAATAATATATGGTTCTACAATCACGCAGTACTGGAACAATAGGAGGCACTATCTGGGGTTCTTGAGCTAGTAAGTCTCCCTTACAGGCACATACAATGTTCACACGAGTGAGGCTGACAGCCGTCAGTCACCCACAGACAGATACTCCAGCCTCATGGAGAATGGTTACTATTCCCGAGGGACGTCACGTCACTTAGTCCCTTCATAATTCCTGCAGTTACAACAGAACCGGAATCAGCGACAAGAGTCGGGCTTGTTTTAGCACGTGCTGTTTACAAATACTGGCCTCGGCAATTCGCCACCAAACATAACCAAGGGCCGTCAGTCGAGTTGTTTGTCCATCAATTATTTACCTGCTCCTACCTCGTGTTGCTGTAACCTGTCTCAATTAATTCAAAACAACGCCGGGCCTGACCACGTCGGAAAACAAACACGAGAGAGAGAGAGAGAGAGAGAGAGAGAGATAGAGAGAGAGAGAGAGAGAGAGAGAGAGAGAGAGAGAGAGAGAGAGAGAGAGAAATATATATATAGAGTTAGTTTATTCACCCACACTGCCGACGTAGTGAGTTTTTCTTACTTAGTTTTACGTATAGTTTCACCGGGAGCGAGATAGTCGGCGATGACGAGAGTGATAGTATACAAACCTGATCTCGCACGTTCAGTGGGCCATCCTTGCCTCCGGTGATGAGATAAGTGTTTACCCTCGGGTGTACCTAACCGGCCCCACCAGTAAGACTGAGAATAACGCTGACAAGACCCAGATGTATGTGCAAACACAAGGGTTTTAAGTAAATCACGGCAAGAATAGCGTGGGAGATACATAATGGGGTTATTATTGGATGTAAACTGTAACACCTTGTGTCTATAACGAGAGCGCATAATCTGCATGTTCCTTTCTCCGACTCACGTTGACATGGAAGCTCTCTGAGGAGAATAGAAACGTCATTGGGTAATGCGTTCTTATATGACGCCGAAGAAACATGCGCATTGCAGGACGGCTTCACTTGCTGATGTTCAAATGTAATGAGACGTGTTGGTCGTACTCGAGACGCGTCATAAACAGACACATTGATTGGTGACGTGAAACTTTAAGGGAAGGGAACATCCCGTTTTTGGATGTTAAACATCTTCCTGCTTCAAAACGTGTTATGGTAAAGGGAGAGGTGTTTATATAACGTTGTTGTAAGTTCACCAATCCCCTTCAAATAACAAATCTTTCCTGAAGAAAATAGTGTTCAAATCCAGTAGGCGAAGCTTCACAATTTCTTCGTCATGTGACGTAGTATGATAGCATGTCCTTATCTCCACACCCAGTGTGTAAATATTCATATCTTTGTAATATGCCCATCCCCCTTTGGCCATTCTGCTATCGTCAGCCCCCCTCGGGGTGTATTTACCCGTCGGGACATTGAACGTTTTGTTTTGGAATACAGCTGACACATATCACTGGTCGAATTGTAACTTGAAACGAATAAATCGTGCATACATCTGTTCACATTTCAGTGTATATAATTCTATCCAAACTGTTATAAATTTTACTCTTCAATAACGAACATGTAAGACCTCATTAGTATACGTCTTGAGCTTGGCAGTTGAGATTAATTACCCGGTACTACAGTCTCCCCGACATCAACAGGCAGCCCTGATTACGTATTTACGCGTCACCACAGAGCGGCAGAGCTGTGGTGTGAGTCAGTCGTGGTAAGAACCTGTTCTTCTTCTGCCGCCTGAGGCAGACAGTCAAGCGTGACTATGTGACACCACCACACAAGGCACCATTCTGTGTCCCCGACTTGGAGAGTCATACAGTGTATTCACCATGAGGAGAACGTATCTCAGTTGTTTCATGTTTCTTGTGTTCCTTGTCCAACTCCCAGAGAACGCAGGTAGGTTCCCATTTGTTATATCCTCACACAGCAGTGACACTCATCAGTTTACGGATCGTTAATGTGGAGACGATGTGTCAAGTCTGGCTGTTGACAAATGGAATTATTCTTTCTTAAAACAGTCAGACTGTTTGAACGAATGTTAATATGAGGATTACGTACCAGCTTCTGAAATTATTACACAATTATTGTCAGTATCTATCATAAATACATACCAGGCAATATATATATAATAAATATACCACGTAGAAGCTGTCAGTGAGAATCAGGCATACACCGAACGTGTATATTGAAGAAAGTTTAGTGGATATTTTTCTGTCATTTCTATTTCTCCGATTGCCTCCCTGTATTACTGCATTAACTTTGACGTGTATGTCACCTGTACACCTGTGATGTACCTGTGACATCTGCGCCATAACGGTACACTGTATGCCTGCTCCACCCTTGACGTGTATGTCACTTGTACACCTGTGATGTACCTGTGACATCTGCGCCATAACGGTACACTGTATGCCTGCTCCACCCTTGACGTGTATGTCACCTGTACACCTGTGATGCACCTGTGACATCTGCGCCATAACGGTACACTGTATGCCTGCTCCACCCTTGACGTGTATGTCACCTGTACACCTGTGATGCACCTGTGACATCTGCGCCATAACGGTACACTGTATGCCTGCTCCACCCTTGACGTGTATGTCACCTGTACACCTGTGATGCACCTGTGACATCTGCGCCATAACGGTACACTGTATGCCTGCTCCACCCTTGACGTGTATGTCACCTGTACACATGTGATGCACCTGTGACATCTGCGCCATAACGGTACACTGTATGCCTGCTCCACCCTTGACGTGTATGTCACCTGTACACATGTGATGTACCTGTGACATCTGCGCCATAACGGTACACTGTATGCCTGCTCCACCCTTGACGTGTATGTCACCTGTACACCTGTGATGCACCTGTGACATCTGCGCCATAACGGTACACTGTATGCCTGCTCCACCCTTGACGTGTATGTCACCTGTACACATGTGATGTACCTGTGACATCTGCGCCATAACGGTACACTGTATGCCTGCTCCACCCTTGACGTGTATGTCACCTGTACACCTGTGATGCACCTGTGACATCTGCGCCATAACGGTACACTGTATCCCTGCTCCACCCTTGACGTGTATGTCACCTGTACACCTGTGATGCACCTGTGACATCTGCGCCATAACGGTACACTGTATGCCTGCTCCACCCTTGACGTGTATGTCACCTGTACACATGTGATGTACCTGTGACATCTGCGCCATAACGGTACACTGTATGCCTGCTCCACCCTTGATGTGTATGTCACCTGTACACATGTGATGTACCTGTGACATCTGCGCCATAACGGTACACTGTATGCCTGCTCCACCCTTGACGTGTATGTCACCTGTACACATGTGATGTACCTGTGACATCTGCGCCATAACGGTACACTGTATGCCTGCTCCACCCTTGACGTGTATGTCACCTGTACACTTGAACGTATAATACACCTGTGTCATACCTGTACACGCCCAATGGCGAGCCGAACATTGTTCTTCTGATGGATTATTCTCTGCCTTCTTTGCGTCTGTACCTAAACAAAACGTCATTTGTCATGCGTGGATGGTTTCCGGGTTGCCCCGTACTGACAATATAATGAAAGTATTTGCATGTTTTAACCAGCTTTGTGTGATTGGGTCGCTTGAACACAGACAGTTCTATAATTATCTTAGAGGTATGTTTGCGGTTATGTACTTATGTGTTCTATGTCCACGTATGTGTTCTATGTCCACGTGTCCCGTGAAGATCCGGGTCAGATGGTACCGTAAAAGGCAACTATGTCGGAAGAGGTGACTTACGGGATCGGGTGTGTTCTATGTCCACGGGTGGTCAGGATCGCTGACTAGGTTGATCCATGTCATCGTGTCCCAATTGCGTGGACCGATGCTCATGCTATCGATCACTGGATTGTCTGGTCTAGACTCGATCATTTACGGTTAGCTGGAATATTGCAGAGTTCGGCGTAAAACAACCAACCACCACCAACAACAACGCATGTGTTCTATGTCCAAGTATGTGTTCTATGTTCATGTATGTGTTCTAGGTCCACGTATTTGTTCCATGTTCACGTGTGTGTTCTATGTCCGCTATGTGTTCTATGTCCGCTGTGTTCTATGTCCACGTATGTGTTCTATGTCCGCTGTGTTCTATGTCCACGTATGTGTTCTATGTCCACGTATGTGTTCTATGTCCACGTATGTGTTCTATCTCCACGTATGTGTTCTATCTCCACGTATGTGTTCCATGCCAACGTATGTGTTCTATGTCCACGTATGTGTTCTATATCCATGCATGTGTCCTATGTCCACGTATGTGTTCTATCTCTACGTATGTGTTCTATGTCCACGTATGTGTTCTATGTCCACGTATGTGTTCTATGTCAACGTATGTGTTCTATGTCCACGTATGTGTTCTTTGCCCACGTATGTGTTCTATGTCCACGTATGTGTTCTATGTCCACGTATGTGTTCTATGTCCACGTATGTGTTCCATGCCAACGTATGTGTTCTATGTCCACGTATGTGTTCTATCTCCACGTATGTGTTCTATGTCCACGTATGTGTTCTATGCCCACGTATGTGTTCTATGTCCACGTATGTGTTCTATGCCCACGTATGTGTTCTATGTCCACGTATGTGTTCTATGTCCACGTATGTGTTCTATGTCCACGTATGTGTTCTATGTCCACGTATGTGTCCTATGTCCACGTATGTGTTCTATGTCCACGTATGTGTTCTATGTCCACGTATGTGTTCCATGCCAACGTAAGTGTTCTATGCCCACGTATGTGTTCTATATCCATGTATGTGTCCTATGTCCACGTATGTGTTCTATGTCCACGTATGTGTTCTATGTCCACGTATGTGTTCTATGTCCACGTATGTGTTCTATGCCCACGTATGTGTTCTATATCCATGTATATGTTCTATGTCCACGTATGTGTTTTATCTCCGCTGTGTATTCTATGTCCACGTATGTGTTCTATGTCCACGTAAGTGTTCTATGCCCACGTATGTGTTCTATGTCCACGTATGTGTTCTATGTCCACGTATGTGTTCTATCTCCACGTATGTGTTCTATGTCCACGTATGTGTTTTATCTCCGCTGTGTATTCTATGTCCACGTATGTTTGTCCAGTTATGGGTCAATGGATGAATATTAAGATAATGGTTTGATCTAGCGGACAATGCAATAACTTATGTTCTCGTTTATTCCGTTTCAACAATCGGTTTGAGACACGGGTACTTTGTGACCTCATCTGCTCGAGACACTTAGACTGTGGAGACAGTCGGTATATGACAGCGTCAAGGGGATATGTGTTTGTGGCCGCACTCCGTCAGCATGTCTATGTTCGTTACGCACACGCACGCACGCACGCACGCATGCACGCACGCACACGCACACACATACACACACACACATACACACACGCACGCACGCACGCACGCACGCACGCACGCACGCACGCACGCACGCACGCATGCACGCACACACACACATACACACACGCACGCACGCACGCACGCGCGCGCGCGCGACCCGTGAAGATCCGGGGTAGAATAGGCCTTCAGCAACCCATTCTTGCCGTAAAAAGGTGGTCAGGCTTGCTGATTTGGTTGATGCACGTAATCGGTCCCAATTGCGTGGATCGATGCTCATGATGTCAATCACTGGATTGTCTGGTCCAGACTCGATTATTTACAGACCGCCGTCATATAGCTGGAATATTGCTGAGTGCGACGTTAAACAACAAACAAACAAACAAACAAACAAACACACACACACACACACACACACACACACACACACACACACACACACACACACACACACACACACACACACACACACACACACACACACACACACACACACACACACAGTGTGTCGCTAATATGTTTGTGTGTGTGTGTGTGTCTAGGTATATATGTATGTATGATACTCTGAGCATGAAATGTACTGAATGTATCGTATCTGAGCATAAAATAAAGGGAATGTATCACATTCTGAGCATGACATCCAGTGAATGTATCATAATCTCAACATGACATTTAGTGAATGTATCATATTCTGAGCATGACATTCAGTGAATATCATAATCTCAACATGACATCCAGTGAATGTATTATATTCTGAGCATGAGTGAGTGAGTGAGTGAGTTGGGTTTAACGCCGCTTTTAACAATATTCCAGTTATATCACGGCGTGTCAGCTTAATGTGGGAGGAAAGCCCGAAGTGATGCAGGTCTCAGACGTTTACCACTTCGGTGAAACCAACGAGCATGGGTATGGTGCTGACAAACCTAGAAACATAATCGGGGCGAACCGGGATTCGAACCCACAATCATAGGTTTCTGGCGTGCCCAAGGAACGCAACTCTGCACAGCGAATCGCGGGCCACCCGTGCCCCTTCTGGGCATGACATCCAGTGTTCCGTGTACCGTGTACTGTCTTCCGTATATTGTGCACTGTGTTTTCTGTGTACCGTGCACCATGCACCCTGTACCGTGCACTGTGTACCATGTTCCGTGCACCGTGTACCGCATTCCGTGCACCGTGCACCCTGTACCATGCACCGTGTACCATGTTCCATGCACCATGTACCGTGTATCATATTCCGTGTTCCGTGGTCCGTGTACCGTGCACTGTGCTACGTGCACCGCGTACTGCGTACTGTGCGCCATGTAGCGTGCACCGTGTAGCGTGCACCGCGTACTGCGTACTGTGCGCCCTGTAGCGTGCACCGTGTACCGTGCACCATGTTACGTGTACTGTGTTTCGTTTATCGTGCACCTTGTTCCGTGTACTGTGCACCGTGCACCTTGCACCTTGCACAGTGTACCGTGCACCGTGTAATAGCGTTTGTTGCGTGTATCTGTCGTTAAACGCTATATCGCCATGTTTCAGCCGGCGCTGATGTTCTGAGCATGGCATTCAGTGAATGTATCATGTTCTGAGCATGACATTCAGAGAATGTATCATATTGAAGGGATGACATTCCATATATCGTGCACCGTATTCCGTGTACCGTGTACCATGCACTGTGTACCATGCACCGTGCACCATGCACCCTACTACGTACAACGTGTACCGTGTACCATGTACTGTGTACTGTGCACCCTGTAGCGTTCACCATGTACCATGTACCGTGTACTGTTTACTGTGCACCGTGCACCCTGTACTGTGTTTTATGTATCTTGTATCGTGCACCTTGTTCCGTGTACCGTGCACCGTGTACCGTTTAGCGTGCACCGTGTATTGTGTACTGTGCACACTATAGCGTGAACCGTGTACTGTTTACCATGTACCATGTACTGTTTACCGTGTACCGTGCACCATGTACCATGTACTGTTTACCGTGCACCGTGCACCGTGTACTGTGTTTCGTGCAACTTGTTCCGTTACCGTTCACCGTGCACCTTTCACCATGTACCATATACCGTGTACCATGCACCCTGCACCCCCACACCGTGCACCATGCACAGTGTACCGTGCACCGTGTAGTAGTGTTTGTTGATATCCAGTGTACCGTGTACCGTGTTCTGTAAATCGTGCATTGCTTTCCGTGTACCGTGCACCGTGTTCCGTGCACACTGCACCGTGTACCGTGCATCGTGCACCATGCATCCCATTCCGTGCACCCTGCTACGTGTACCGTGTACAATGTTCCATGCACCGTGTAGCGTGCATCGTGTACCGTGCAACGTGCACCCTGTGCCGTGTACCGTCTACTGTCTACCGTGTATCGTGCACCGTGAACCGTCTACCGTCTACCGTGTATCGTACACTGTGTTCCGTGCACCGTGTACCGTGCATCGTGTACCGTGCACAGTTGACGTACACCGTGTAGCAGTGTTTGTTGCGTGCATCTGTGTTTAAACGCTATATCGTCATGTTTCAGCCGGCGCCAAGTGCTATGCATGCAGCTACATTTTTGCCGGCCACGACGGGGTCTTCGGCTACAGCTGCGTGAACGACACGAGCAACTTCGAAAGCACCTCTCAGATTGAGTGTGAGCTGCCACGGAAATGTATCATCAAGGCTGTTTATGATAGAAGTAAGATTGACAATTATCCTGCTTGATAGTGATACACACGATTTAAGGATAAATTTCAAAACAAATTGGTACCCTTAACAAGTAGTCATATAGCATCTCTTTTTATTAATGTAAATAACATGTCTTAAAACTATCTGATTAATACGCTAGCAGTGCGTCCTTTACATAAAAAAATAAATATGTGTTTTGTGTTACAATTTATAATTACATCAATTACATCACAGCGAGTCGGCGTAACGGGAGAGTTAACAAATATACATGTGATAATCCTGTGTGATGAATAACATGCGACTCCCTGTTTTCCAGACGTCCAGCGCCTGTTATCAATGGACAAGGGGTGCCAGGTCCCACAAGGGGAGACAGGGTGTGACGCGCCGGACGGCATCAGACCAGTCTGCTATTATAACTGTGACACTGACCTATGTAACTTCTTCGACGGAAACCTCGCCTTTGTAAACATGCCTCTACCGGGGAAAGCAGCCCCGACATCGTCGTCAGGTCTCTACGACACTTTGATGATGGCTGTGCTGGCAGCATACACATCCGTATAGCCTCAAGGTCATCCGTCACCACCCGTCACCATCATCGCTAACCAGAATCAACTGAATGGATAGATGCTTCTCTATAGAAGTTAAAGAACATTCGATTCTTTTATATTAATATGGTTAAATTGTCATGACATGACTGATTAGCTACAGTAACATGAAGGAATCGGTGTTCTTTAACTTCTTTAGAGTAGGATATATTGAAACATCTTTAAGGGGTAACACGTGACGAGCTGAACAGTTCACGTTACTAGACACTCAATGCACCAGTACTGATACTTCCGGTCAACAATGATCAACTTACTCTGGTGCTGATTCATGCACATTATGGATATTATAGTCGACGCTACTTACGTCACACACATCTGGAGACAAGGAGACAATTATAACACTGTATAGTAACTGACGCTTGTTCAATGTTGTAACAGGGTGGGGGAACAGCACGATTAGGGGAACAGCACGTGTAGGGGAACAGCGAGTGTAGGGGAACAGCACGTGTAGGGGAACAGCGAGTGTAGGGGAACAGCGCGAGTAGGGGAACAGCGCGTGTAGGGGAACAGCACGTGTAGGGGACAGCGCGTGTAGGGGAACAGCGAGTGTAGGGGAACAGCGCGAGTAGGGGAACAGCGCGTGTAGGGGAACAGCACGTGTAGGGGAACAGCACGATTAGGGGAACAGCACGTGTAGGTGAACAGCGCGTGTAGGGGAACAGCACTTGTAGGGGAACAGCGCGTGTAGGGGAACAGCGCGAGTAGGGGAACAGCACGAATAGGGGAACAGCGCGTGTAGGGTAACAACACGTGTAGGGGAACAGCACGTGTAGGGGAACAGCGCGTGTAGGGGAACAGAACGTGTAGGGGAACAGCGCGTGTAGGGGAACAGCGCGAGTAGGGGAACAGCACGAATAGGGGAACAACGCGTGTAGGGTAACAGCACGTGTAGGGGAACAGCACGTGTAGAGGAACAGCGCGAGTAGGGGAACAGCGCGTGTAGGGGAACAGCACGTGTAGGGGAACAGCACGATTAGGGGAACAGCGCGTGTAGGGGAACAGCGCGAGTAGGGTAACAGCACGTGTAGGGGAACAGCGCGTGTAGGGGAACAGCACGTGTAGGGGAACAGCACGTGTAGGGGAACAGTACGTGTAGGGGAACAGCGCGAGTAGGGGAACAGCACGTGTAGGGGAACAGCGCGTCTAGGGGAACAGCACGTGTAGGGGAACAGCACGTGTAGGGGAACAGCACGATTAGGGGAACAGCGCGAGTAGGGTAACAGCGCGAGTAGGGGATCAGCACGTGTAGGAGAACAGCACGAGTAGGGGAGTCACGAGTCACCTTATATCGGGATATATCGAGGCCGTTCAGGTTAAGTCAACTACAGCGGCTTTATACTTGACATAGTTACATTCCTAATTACTGTTTATCCAGTGTAAGACATTATATTGCCATGGATTCTGTCAACTGGTAATGTGAAACATCCGTTGTGAATTAACACAGGAAGCATAGACGCGTAGATTCAGATTACATTTTAAATAACGATCTCGTTGAACATATAAAACTGGGGCATTGACAGCTGCATGTGCAGCGGAACCCCGTTAAACCGCACGATAACGTCGTCCGGATGAGTACAGATTGCTATTAGGATATGTAGAAGATGTGGAAGGTGTCTGGATTAACGAGATTACCATTCAAACGGCATGTCAGCAGCGGACGTGGTATGATGTGAAAACAGTGTGACAGTCTCACGGCATGTCAGCAGCGGACGTGGTATGACGTGAAGACAGTGTGACAGTCTCACGGCATGTCAGCAGCGGACGTGGTATGATGTGAAAACAGTGTGACAGTCTCACGGCATGTCAGCAGCGGACGTGGTATGATGTGAAAACAGTGTGACAGTCTCACGGCATGTCAGCAGCGGACGTGGTATGATGTGAAAACAGTGTGACAGTCTCACGGCATGTCAGCAGCGGACGTGGTGTGATGTGAAGACAGTTTGACAGTCTCACGGCATGTCTACACAACGGACCCGGTATGATGTGAAGACAGTGTGACAGTATCAGTACCTGCCCGTGTACCTGTGCAGGTAAACACTGACTGCACCACTTACTGCATAATACGGACACTTCTTGTATAAAACTGTTTTTTTGTTTGAATACTACCTGTCTTGTTGCTAACTTGTTAACATACATCTCACTGTTATAATGTATCACAATTAATGACATTAAAAAATATCTACAACACGGATATGTGGGGACGGTGATCAATAGCACAACACAGTGATCTATTGCACAACACGGAGATATATTGCACAACACAGTGATCTATTGCACAAAACAGAGATCTATTGCACAACACGGTGATCTATACACTACATAGCGAACTATTCCACAACACGGAGATGTATTGCACAACACAAAGATCTATTCCACAACACGGAGATCTATTCCACAACACGGAGATCTATTGCACAACACGGTGATCTATAGCAGAACACAGTGATCAATAGCACAACACAAAGATCTATAGCACAACATAGTGATCAATTGCACAACACGGGGATCAATACACAACACAGTGATCTTTCGCACAACACAAAGATCTATTGCACAACACGGTGATCAATAGCTCAGTACGGAGATATGTAACCTAACACGGTGATCTACAGCACAACACAGTGATCTATTGCACAACACAATGATCTATTGCACAACATGGTGATCTATACACAACACAATGATCTATTGATCAACACAATGATTTATTGATCAACACAGAGATCTATTGCACAACAGTGATCTATAGCACAACACGGTGATCTATAGCACAACACAATGATCTATAGCACAGCACAGTGATCTATTGCACAACACAGCGATTTATTGCACAACACGGAGATCTATTGCGCAATACAGTGATCAATAGCACAACACGGTGATGTACTACGTAACACGGTTATCAGTGGTACAACACCACAATAGCACAACACGATGATTTACAGCACAACAGGACCGCCTCCGTGGTCTAGTGGTAGAGCGTCCGCCCGGAGAGCGGAAGGTCCGGGGTTCGATCCCCGACCGCGTCATACCAAAAGACGTTAAAGATGGCACTTGTTGTTACCCTGTCTGGCGCTCGGCATTAAGGGGCTAAAACAAGGACTGGTCGGCTCGGGGTCAGTATACTGTGTATGAGTGGGGTATTCATGTTAAACCCGCAACATGGTATCTCAGTGAGCTAGCACTATAAATCGGCATCAGTCCGGACTAGTACAAGCAGCCACACAAACACACACACGTACATGCACGTCGCTATATAAGTGCAATAATCTTGGACGCGACGTTAAACCTCATTTCACCTCACCTCACTTACAGCACAACACGGTGATCTATAGCACAACACAGTGATCTATAGCCTACACAGTGATGTATAGCCCACACAGTGATCTGCAGCAAATCACGGTGATCTATAGCCAACACGGCGACCTATCACACAGCACGGTGATCTGTAGCACAACACGGTGACATCACTACACTGTGATCTATAGCACAGCACGGTGACCTACAGCACAACACGGTGATATCACTACATTGTGATGTATAGTACAACACAGGGTTCGTTTGCACAGCACGGAGATCTATAGCACATCACGATGATCTATAGCACAGCACGGTGATTTATTGCACAATACAGTGATCCATCACACAACATGACGATCTATAGCACAACACGGTGACCTATAGCACAACACAGTGATCAACAGCACAGTGATCTATCGCACAATACGCTGAGAGCACTACATTGTGATCTATAGCACAACACTGTGATCCATTGCACAGCACGGTGATTTATAGCACAACACAGTGATCAATAACACAGCACGGTGACATATAGCACAACACGGTGATCTATAACACAACACGTTGACATGTAGCACAACACAGTGATCAATAACACAACAGGGTGATCTATCGCACAACACGGTGATCTATAGCATAATACGGTGAAAGCTAGAACAACAGAGTGATTTATTGCACAAGAACGTGATCTTACAGTTCCACTCCAACCTCTGACCGGAGATTAATTTCTCTTCTGAGCCTTTTGAGGACAAGCGAGTCTTGTTTTTGCACATTTGTAATGGCTTGGCGATTAATAGATAATTCCGTTATGTTACTTAAGATTAGATTATATTGAAGGATAAAACATGTCATATCCAAAAACTTCAGTAAAACGTTTTCTTTCCAGACAGATAAACTACAAGTTACATTCTACTGCACAGCCTAGGTGTATAAATGCCCCAGACAATCTTCACCAAAGTGTTACAAGACTTCATAGCTTCAGGCTGTCCTCCCACATGACACGCCGTAATGTTACTGCTATACAGTGCAAAGGGCATGAAATCAACTCACTCGCTCACTCGCTCACTCACTCACTCACTCACTCACTCACTCACTCCTACATGAAGTTGACACACCGTAATATAACTGATATATATTTCAAAGGGCGTGAAACGCAATTCACTCACTCACTCCTACATGAAGCTGACATGCTGTAATATAACTGATATACAGTTCCAAAGGCGTGAAACCCAACCCACTCACTCACTCACTCCTACATGAAGCTGACATGCTGTAATATAACTGATATACAGTTCCAAAGGCGTGAAACCCAACCCACTCACTCACTCATGTCTACATGAAGCCGACATGCCGTAATATATCTGATGTTTAGTTCCAAATCAAAATTCCGCTCACGCACACGTTCAAGCCAGAGATGTGTATTTCATAGGAGCAATATATCTGATTGAAGCGTCTGGTAAATCACAGCTCACAATCATATATCCCCCCCCCCCCCCCCCCCCCCCCCCCCGCCCCCATCCACCCCCACCCCCCACCCCCAAATATGTATACATGTATGCTACCGTGACCCAGTTTACAATTCCATTATTAGAAAAAAGTTAATACAGATATGCATCTGTACCTAAATTCAAGAAATGTAAGGTTTATAAATTTCGATTCCCCACATGGTACAATGTGTGAAGCCCATTTCTGGTGTCCCCCGCCGTGAAATTACTGGAATAGTGCTAAAGGTGGCGTAAAACCATAGTCACTACATACACGAAAATATATTTACCAATGTTAGCTTATATATATGTCTCTTCAAATAACACCAACAATATATATCTACGCTATGATCAATGCTGAGTAGTGCATCGAGAAGTATTCTGTAGGCATTCCTCAATATATAAACATAAGATATCAACGACAACGAATATCCAGTCTCGACGGAGGTAAAATTATGTGAATAATGACAACCTCAACAATGACATATGTTTGTAGTGGCAGGGCTAGCACTGAACGTACAGTAGTATCTTGTACAAGTAATCGTGTGAACTGTGTCAGGGGGATGTCAGGCCCCATGTGATGTCTAGTATTGAATGTATGCGTATGGTCATGGTACATAGACGGCTGGGCGATATCCATGTGTTTATATCATTTGACTATTCCTTTCTTTTAGTACCATGTTTCACGTTTGGCAACTGAAAGAGATACCACATGTTGTGTATGGTGACGTCACACCTTCACACCGTCAACAGAATCATGCACGATGTTCCCCACTTAACAGGACAGCCCTTCCTCGCATTATCCCGTGGATCCTATAAACGGCGTTATCACGGGGGGATTCAGTCACACGCATGGAACCTGCACCAGTCCTTCCTCCACAATTAATTCATATTTAACCATGTCGTGAAGGAACTATATTTAGACGAGCCCTGAACATGGATACAATGCTTGCAATGGCCACTGTATCTTATGTCTAATCTTACAAAGCGGGGTGATAATGGCATATGCTGCCAATCGATGTGATTGAATTGTGGATGCTCTGGCTGCGGATGCTGGTGTGACATTTGAGGCACGTCAGCCTCCATCAGCGTCTGGAGTGAACGGTGCGTGTCGTGGCACTGTAGTTATTCATACAGTTGTGCCTACAAGTATGGTAGACCCGTGAAGATCCGGGTTAGAATTGGTCTTCAGCAACCGATGCTTGTCGCAAGAGGCAACTAACGGAAACGGGTGGTCAGGCTCGCTGTCTTGGCTGATGCATGCCATCGTATCCCAACTACGTAGATCGATGCTCATGATGTCAACCACTGGATTGCTTGGTCCAGACTGGATTATTTACAGACCGCCGTCAAATAGCAGGGATATTGCTGAGTGCGGCGTTAAACAACAAATAAAGAAACAACATATAGAAACATAAAAGTACAGTTACAAAGAGTGTGTGTGTGTGTGTGTGTGTGTGTGTGTGTGTGTGTGTGTGTGTGTGTGTGTGTGTGTGTGTGTGTATGAGATCCTATTTAGCGGAATGTGGGTGACGTGGAATTAACATTGAATATTACTTTTCAATAACTGCAGAGTTCCCATCAACTTCCAACATTTGAAACAATGTCTAGTATCGGGAAGTCCCACGTATCCAACTTCCAAAATATTACGAAGGCCCTTGGTATGAAATAACATATCAGTTAAACAAACTGTTCAAAGGTGAATATTTATTGTGCTTAGAACGCATAGCATCATATAGTACATGTTTCCTTAGCAGTCGTGATATCATCCAAACGGCCTCTGTTCGTGTAAATCTGAGAACAAACGAACGGCCTGTGGTATACATTTCCAGGAAAAGGGATGATTCTTTCAAGTCGCATATGTGGATGCTTATGATACAGACAGAAACTTGGGTTTCGTGCAGAACACAGCAGCTGCATGGAATGCTATCGTTTATCTTTGATTCGGTTTACTTTTATCACGAACTTCCATTACGGTCTTATGGACTCAAATACATGCAGCTGTTATGTTATAATAGGCACCTGTAAACAAGCGCCAAAATATTTGAATAGGTTTACTTTGATTTGGCATTGAAAGCTCAATCAATCAGTACGTAGAAACTGATTATATAAACTACTCAAAAGAAGTTACGGAACACCCTGTTCCTTCCATATTACTTTGGGTGATATGTCAAGGCATGGATGACAGTGTCGGTGTACTTCATTTGTTTTGGTAGAATCAAAATAAAGGACGGTGACTTCAACTGTTTCACGCGTTTGTGTCGGTGTTCACTGAACATCAATAAATCCTAACTTGAATAACACCGACAACATCCACT